CTGTGGGGGTTGGAAGAGACGGTGAGTTAATAAAATGACAAAATGGAACACAACATCAAAAAAAGAGAAAGGAATTAATGGATTTCCAAAACAGATATGTTCATAGGCACAGATGCTGACACATCCACCAAACAGGGATGTGATCTTTTCATTAGAGTAGTCCCCTTCACAGTTAGAAAAATATCTTCTTATATGAAGACCTCTGCCTTTCTGAGTCTATGCACTGCATCATTATTTAAAATAGGCACAATTCCTTTGAGAAACATAAATAAAAAAACATTAACCTTGTTATAAAGATGTTGGTTTCTTTGCAGTGCTGTGCCTCTGTACCATTCTTTCTTTCATATGAATGAAAGGAAGATTTCTTTTTGTCATTACAGTAATAAGGGTAGATAGAATAACACTTATAATAATCTGGTGATAATAAGCCTAACAATGATAACAAAAAACAAAACCGTGTTTGCTATTTCATAAACAAAGCTGCACAGTATCTGTGTGCAACACAATTGCCTTCAGTATCTTTTTATAAGACATCTATTACTAACACCTCAAAAAGGGAAGAAGAGCAGAGAGAGGGAGAGGGAGAGGGAGAGGGAGAGAGAGGGAAGGGATAAGAGGGGAGGAAGAGGAGAGGATAAGGGAAGGGGAGGAAGAGGGAGAGGGAGGGGGATTCAGGGAGGGAGTAAGGGGAGGGGGAGAGGAAGGGATGAGAGGGGGAGGGAAGGAGGGAGGAAGAGAGGACAGTGAGTGAGAGCAAGAAGGAGAGGAGAGGAGGAGAGAGAGAGAGAGAGAGGGAGAGGGAAGAAGGGGAGGAAGAGGGGAGAGGGGGGAGGGGAGAGGGAGAGGGAGAGGGAGAGAGGGGAGGGGAGGAGTGAGTGAGTGAGGGAGAGAGAGAGGGGAGAGAGAGGGAGGAGAGAGAGAGAGAGAGAGAGAGAGAGGAGAGAGGAGAGAAGAGAGAGGAGAGAGAGAGAGGAGAGAGAGAGAGAGAGAGAGAGAGAGAGGGAGGGAGGGAGAGAGGGAGAGGAGAGATAAAGAAAGAAAGAAAGAAAGAAAGAGAGGGAGAGAGAAGGAGGGGGTGGGGGAAGAAAGGGAATGTGATAACTGTTTTTTCCTCCCAATGTTCTACCACTGATGCAAACGTGACCCCTAAATCTTATCAATAAACAATTCACATGAAGTGCATAGATATACCATAAAAATAATACATAAAATAGTCAAAACCATCAAAGTCACCCTTGCTGGCAACTCTAGCAATCAACTCAAAAATAACTTTGATTGAACCTATCTTATTATCCAGTCTACTTCCTGTACATGTCTGATAAACCAGGAAAAATCATCCTAGCACGAAACATCATAAAAGATAAACTTCTTAAAATCTCATACAGATAAAACTCACTTGGGCATCCCTATAGTTTGCCATAAATATAGATGTTTAGGGTCTACTTATTTCATGTTATGCATGATTTTGCTCTAGTGACTGATAATCTTTTTTATTTTCAATTAACCTTTATTTAGACATACAAACACAAAGAGGCAGATACACACACACACATACGGACTGATAATTATTCCTCTCGAAACTCAAGTTACCCGCTGTCCGAAATAGAAAAAAAAAAAAAACGTTTTATAAATGGAGGTTTCGCTGATAAACTTTTATATCAGATGTCACCGGCTGATTTATCGATCCAGCATTTCCACAGGTACTTCAAACGCATCCGCAACATGCAGACAAATAATCCAATGCAAGTAATTCCCTCCATTTTTTATTTTATTATTTCCTTTTCTATTGTCATTTTAAAAACAGCATCCTTTGCAACTTTGGTGAATGCCGGTCCCGACCCCCCCCCCCCCAAAACCCCCAATTTTGTTCCCGTTTTCTTCTTCCCGTTTTGTGTGGAGGGAGGAGGTAGGGGGAGGGGGGGAGGGTTCACTCTGTTGGGGAAGAAGAGGAAGTCTTTTTTTTTGTTTTGTTTATGCGTGTGTATTTGTCAAAGGCAATCTTTTTACTTCGTAGTTTTATACCACATGCGTAGGCCTAACGCAATCTACCGATAACCCCAATTAAGACCAATATAGACGAATTAATAATAATCCTACAAATTCATTTCAACCAAGAAAAAACTAAATTATTAATATTACTGCTTCAACTGCAACAAGTGATGATAATTATAATGGTAATACCAACGACAGTATAAACGAAATAATACGACAATCGTAAGCCAGGGTCCTGCCCGCAGCCCCCGTACCCGGGCAAAGCCACCAGCCGGCACGTGGTCGACCTTCGTACACATCCCAAGCCTTCTCGTGAACGCATTTTCGACTAAACCCCTCGGCGAAACCTCCCGGACGAGCATTTTCTCTCTCATTTGGCCATAGAGTAAATAACTCTCCCTACTAGTCGCTAAATATGCGAACTCGAGGACCAGACGGCGCCATCACGGGCTCCAAGAAGCACCTCGCCCACTGCCGTCGCCACAACATGCCGCGACGGACTCCGGTTCCTCTTGCGTCGCCGCACTCCTCCTCCGGCATTCGCGTGACTCACAGCCTCATCAACACTTGCCTACGTTGCACGGCTCGTTCTGGACGCGTTTGCAATATTGGGACAAAAAAATATGCGGATGTTGCCATGCAGAGCGCTCAGTATTAGCACCTGCGGCAAGCCTTGCTCATCATCTGCCTCCCTTTCCCGATAATCTGGCTTCCCTTTTCCCAATAATTGTCTCCTCTGCCTCTCTCTCTCTCTCTCTCTCTTCCTCTCTCCCTCGTTTTCCTGTCCGCTCTCTTCGTTCTTTCTCCCTTACCCACTCTTCCGGTTTTGCCCTCCCTTACTTGCAGAATGGAACGGGGAAATTATAAAGCAAATGCACATTCTTACGAAGCAACAAGAAAGGCACAGATCGAGACGGGAAGACCAAATCTGGAACTTCCGGCGCGCTCAGACCTCGCCGCCGAAGAACGTCAACGCCGCTCCGGTTCCTTTTGGAAGGCAAACACCAATCTGAAGAACAACTACGAAAAATACATCCAAAGTGAAAATCATTCCGAAATAGCCCGGAAGATTACGAAAGGAGCGGCCAGGAACGGTTCCCGACGCTAAAACAGCTGTAGGGTGGCGGCATTCGGACACACCAGCGCCGCTCTCATGAAACCCGAGGAAAAATCTATCATGTCCGTAATTTGCCAAAATATACGGCTGTGTTCTGAGCTGCGGTGTGCGTGCGCGTTCCTGACCGGAAAGCACATGTCCACACGTAAGTATGGCTATGGTGCGAGACAATTAAAATTAACACAGATATAAAGTTTGAAAATGTGACAGCAATTCAAATGAACGTGGTAGAGGAAGTCATCCAGATTTTATTTCACAATATTACTGACTTCACCTACAATGATATTCGCTCCTGTTTGCCGTCAGTGTAACATAGCCTACATAAATGCAATTCTTTTCTTCAGTCACAAGCTAATATGGGCGAAGGAAGAGGGGGGGGGGGAGGCCATCAAGCAAATGCAGTTTTAATTTTTAAAAAATGCCTTAATATACTGACAGTGACGATGGCATGTAGAATCATATGACCTCCTGAGAACCTGTGGCTGTCAAATAATTCTACTAGGATAAAACAGATAAGACAGACAGCCTGACAGCCACCCCCCCCCCCACACACACACACACAACTCAAAAAAGAGAAGAATTTCCCACATGAAACCCACCGAAACAGTGTTACGTAAACCAGTGTTAATAAAACAGCCCCTTTGGGAGTACCCCGTTCACAGGATTGTTGCATACGTGTTGCAGAGGTACTCAAGGACAAAACCACTCCGTTCGCACAACAGCGCCCCGTTTCATGGTTATGCTCCCTTTGGCGCTATCAAGGCCACCTTTGAACCCGGTCAGGCAGAAGGGAACAAGAGGGAAGGGGAGAGGGAAGAGAGGGAGGGAAGGGGAGAGAAAAGAGGGAGGAAGGGGAAGGGAAGAGAGGGAGGGGAGGGGAAGGAGAGAGGGAGGGAGGGAAGGGAGAGGAAGAGAGGGAGGGAAGGGGAGAGGGAAGAGAGGGAGGGAAGGGGAGAGGGAAGAGAGGGAGGGAAGGGGAGAGGGAAGAGAGGGAGGGAAGGGGAGAGGGAAAAGAGGGAGGGAAGGGGAGAGGGAGAGAGGGAGGGAAGGGGAAGAGGAAAAGAGGGAGGGAAGGGAGGGGAGAGAGGGAGGGAAGGGGAGAAGGAAAGAGAGGGAGAAGGGAGAAGGAAGAGAGGGAGGGAGGGGAGAAGGAGAGAGGGAGGGAAAAGAGGGAGGAAAGGGGAGAGGGAAAAAGAGGGAGGGAAGGGGAGAGGGAAGAGAGGGAGGAATGGGAGAGGGAAAGAGGGAGGGAAGGGAGAAGGGAAAGAGGGAGGGAAGGGAGAGGGAAGAGAGGGAGGGAAGGGAAGGGAAAGAGGGAGGGAAGGGGAGAGGGAAAGAGAGGGAAGGGGAGAAGAAAAGAGGGGAGGAAGGGGAGAAGGAAAGAGGGAGGGAAGGGGAGAAGGAAGAGAGGGAGGAGAAGGGGAGTGGGGGAAAGGGGAAAGGGGAGGGAAGGAGAGAGGGGAAAGGGGAAGGGGGAGAGAGAAAGTGGGAGGAGCAATTTTAAAGAAATGCTTCGGATGAAAGAAGCCGTTTACTTGGCGCTGCTAGACCTCATGGAAGCCCAGGAAGTTATCACAGTAACGTAATAACAACATCATAATAACAAGTAATAATATTAACGATCATAATGATGGTGATGATAACAATAAAACTATTATTATTATTTGGCATGCTGGTCACTCCCACCAATGCCAATGACAACAACAGCACCAACAACAATAAACTAATCCATGCAGACCAAAGGCGGAGAAACGCGCAGGAGACAGCACCTGCCGTCACCCCCTCCCCCCCTCCTCCTCTTCTTCTGAATCCCCCCCCCCCCCCCAGCACCTGCCGTCCCCCACCCCCATGCCCTCGGCCCTCCCCCCAGGACCCGACAGGTCATTCCGCG